TGCAGTCATTTCAGCCACTCCCAACAGAACATAATTGTAAACTAGAGAGTGAAAATACTCTCACAATTAGAGTACCAGATAGAAACATCTCTAGTGTCGGTATTCAGTAACTCTCTTTTATATTCTTTGAAGTTTAGTTCATAGTTTTAGCACTGATAAAGTATCACTACTTGGCATTATTATCTTTTAGTCAGAATGGTTACTTAATTAGTAAATAAATATAATTGTGTTATAGTTTTAAATGTGAATATCAGATGGTTTATTTGGTATCAGATGCTATTATATTTATATATGATCATAGGATTGCATGCCTTTGTTTGTGTTCTTAAATTTTTTATGATTGTGTATGTCCTTTTTCTTTAGCCAGAGGGTAGGCGTGTTACTATACTGTATAAGGTGTGGGCTTGGTTTATGTTATCTTATCAGTTGTTTCATCAACCAACCAGAGGCTGACATTGGCTTCACTGTTATCATTTGCAGCTAGGTGATAAGTGTTATAAAATTGGAACTTGTCATGCATGTACAGTCTGTAGGAATATCTCTTTACAGTTAACACCTGTGTGAGTGTTAAAAACACTTCTGTTAGTTTCAGTTTAGTTTGTATGTGTTGTATTTCAGTGTAAATATAAAGTTAAGTTCACAATAATTTGTGTTGGTCTTTAGGTTGTTATTGAAGATGGACTAGATGGATAGAGTGAACAGTTATTTCATGATTCATTTATTCTTTAAAATATTTTTATTTTCAATTCTTCAACATTGGTTTATAAAACATGTTTACAATAGTAACCTTGGACTTATAGTAAGGAAGCAACTGTAATTTTATGTTGTTAAAAATGGCAGCAGTGTGAATTCATAAGTGATTATGTGTGGGTGTTTTATCAGCTCTGTACCGTTTTTGGAATTTTGTGGATGTGACATTATGACAAGCTTGTTACATAACACATACTTGACTAGAGAGTGTATTCCTACAGTTCTGTAGTGGGATCTTTCAAATTGTAACTTTACCTTAAAATGCAGTGTTATGTCTTGTAACAAGTTTTCCTTTTGTGCATGTTGAAACAATATTTGAGTTTATTATGATGTGTGTTTGAACTATTCATGTCAACCTTTGTGTTGGTGAATGTAATACACATACAGAGATACCGTTTGAATCATAACAATGTTAATTAAGACAAACAAGAGAGTTCTTAAATTTGTGGTATATATTTGAGGCCAAACATCTACAATGTGTTGCATCAATATGAAGCATTGGTGTTCTGCATTGACAGCCTTGTGTGAGCCAGTGAAGTTTGGACGAGGAGGTGTGAAGGGTGAGCACCCAGCTGTTGTCATGACAACAGTGAGTGTAGAGAACACAGAGACATGGGAGCATCACAAGAAATTCACGGTGAGTGTCTGTGTTGATTGGTTGATTGATTGATTGATTCTTAGGTTATTTAATAATATGTTTTAACTTCAGAGGTTTATTAATGTCAAGTGAACTGGGAAAATGTTTATGAATAGCAAATGTAGTGTATGGGGATTTGGAAACAGGCAGTCATGGCCTATTTTAAGGTCCCATGTGAACATTTGCCTGAAGATACTGAGGATAACCACAGAAATCTCAGAAATAATGTCTGTGCTGAATAGAAGTCTTGAACAATATACCATCCTGCTCTATATCATCATGTTTTGTCAAAATCATTATACACTGATTCTGTTCTTGGGTTACATAATGACATTTGTTTTAGCAGCTTGTGTTAATACTATAGTGTTGAATTATAGGATGATTATGTGAAATTTAAACCCAGGATCTTGTGAATAAGGATCAAGCATGCAAACTACTCAAGAACTCATTATTTTACAGCAATATGTATAGTATTCTGAAAACTACATTTTTCTTATGGATGCACTTAAAGTATGTTGGATTAAGTTTAATTAAGGGTTGCTGCATGTCATGCTGTGAAGGTGTATGGGTAAAATATAAGGTGGGAAGAGAGGCTCCTTTCACGTTGATCTTGGCAAGAGGACATGAAACATCTCTGGTTGGTAAAGCAGTAACAAATCTGATTCTCATTCTAAAATTATTCGGTTTATATTTCAGCTAGAAACAAATTCTCCTGGCTTTTTTTTTTTTGTGGTTTTCCTCGGTTTTTTTGAAGAAGGCGTTGATGACCACTTCCGTATTCGTAATTTGTAATCATTCTGTTATATCCTGTTTTATAAGCTCACTGGTTGTTAGAGCATCATAAAGTAAAAGAATAATGAGCTAACCACTCATGACAGAGTGAGTCAGTGGTATTATTCTTTTGCCAACTCAGTCCATTTGTTTACTGTATACATATAATCAAGCAGTATTCACCTTATAAAAATGTCTCTCCAGCATATGTTTTGACTCAAAGGTTTTATCTTCAGGTCAAAGTTTTATAAATATGAATTAATCTTTGTCTTCAGTAATATGTAGTCTTGTGTCTTTGATTTACATTGTTATTGTGTGTTGCTTAAAGTATTCATTTATTGGTATATTCATGAATATGGAAGGCATTGTACATGTGAGATGCTTCAGTAGAAATTTCTGGCATTGATAAGGAATGTTGAAGGTAGATATCTTGAATTTTATCCTTTATCCTACTTCATAAGCAGAGTTGGGCTTATCATATCATCATATTTGTGTGTACTTTCCACTGATAACTTTTCAAACAATTGACTCATTTTCATAAAACTTGGTATGAACATCATTTCATCAGAGGTCACAACATTCATTTGTTTTAATTCCCAGTTATCTGCAGATCTAAGGCAGTTATACAATTGGAGACATGGGAGCAAAACTACTGCTGTTGAGGATAGGGTCCAAAGTTTTGTATAATGTTTAAGCTTCAAAATATGCAGCTTTTGTTTTGGTGTTTTCTTTGAAAAATTGCATGGCTGCTGTGGAAAACCTGTGCTTATTAAAACATTTGATTGTTATAATTTATGAACTACTATCAGCTAGGCATATAAATTTTTTTATGTGGTTGGAATATAAATAACCTCTAGAATTCATATCAACTTTTGAGTGGGAGGATATGAATTACAAACATAGATGTTTTACACACCATCATCAGACTTCAGACTTTATTGTTAAATACACTTTACTTTAGTTTATATTTGGCCAATATTAATTTTACTTTACGTGAAACTCAAATAGAACTTTCCTGGTTTTCTGAAAAATTACTCATTATACCACAAAAAGTCATTTTTAATTATGTGAGTTCAGTTTTAATAGCTGTGCCTTGAAAGAATGAATTATAGTGCATAATATTAATTTCATAAAGATCTGCAGCTTTTATTTAGAACATTTTATGGTATAATATATATTTAATAAAAATAAGGAAAAATAATTTGTTTTTGCTTATTGTGGTTATATTTACTACAATTTTGTCTGCAATAATAAATTTAATCTATAACATAAGACCAATCAGATATTTTAAATTGCATTTGGAAAGGTGTCTCTATTCCTAATTGGAATTTGGAATGCACCTTTCCACTCTTGATCACAGTTGGTATGTTTTTATTTTGTCATATTATTTGTAGAGGCAGTAGAGAAATGTGTTTAGTGATGTTTTCCTTTCTTTGTTAGGTTGGAAAACATAACCAGTGTAATGAAAGACTCAAGAATCTTTCATCAACTTCAGTTCCTATGAAAGCTTCACTTTATGCATAACCAGTAGAAGTTTACTATGTAATATGGGAGGATTTTGTTGTGTGTATAATACACACAACTAACTAAAGTAAAAATAAATTCAGATTGTGGAATGTACATTTGCATCCATGTATTTATGTATTCCTTACAGTTTCCTATATGTTCTTTTCTAAAAGATATAAAAAATTCTTAAAGAAATCTTTTAAGGTGTCTGTAGAAAAGTTAAGCAAGAGCCATCAAGTACACTACACAGCACAGATCGCTGTGATGTGGTATGATGGCAGGTTGAATGTCTTATGATTAGTACAGCATAGAATGTAATGGTTTTAAACTAAATTGTGCTGTGATAGTACCTTAAAATAGGTACTATCCAAGTTTTGCCCTGTTTGGTATGTATTACTCTCTTGTAGCCCCTTGAAGTATAACTCACTAACTGGGTGGCTTACTCACTCACTCATTGACTATGGGATTTCTTAGCTTCCTTAGTAGATAAGTTATTTGATCATGAAACTCCAGTAATTAATTAATCATGTATGTAAATGAAACATGTACTTTGAGTCACATTGGTGGAGGTTCATGTAATAGCTTCAAGATGCTTTTATAAAAATTGTGGGAGTATTGATGTTTGTGTTGATTTATGTCTCTTGCAGGTTTACAAAGTGATGGTGACAAATGACAACCATAGTTGGTTCATATTCCGGCGGTATAATGAGTTCTACAAACTGTATGAGGTGCTCAAGAAACAGGTAAATGTTATACGGTTGTTTATTCTAAATTATATGGGCTATTATTTGTTACTGATATGGAGCAATAGTCAAGTGAATAGTAAACAAGATTGAAAAGGCATGCTATTTGGAGTAAACTAGCATTCCAGAGGTGTTCTTCATACCACACCACATAGGTCGTTCTTGTACTAATGTAATCCAAGTGTATTGTTCTGGTTAGGTGCCCATTGTCATTCTTGTAGTGTTGTTATACAGGTATTTGTTGCACAATGATGTCTTCTATTAATGACCTTGGATAGTTTTCCCCCTAATGTGGCCAATTAAATATATTTTATACATACATAAAGTAAAAGCAAAGCTGTCCCACTATAGGCCTTGTAGGTGCTTGGGGGAGATGATATAGCTCCTACTCATTCATGACCACGGCACTAGATGGGAGTGAGTGGTCAGCATCATGCCTCAGCTGCACTTTACCCCCAGGAAAGGACCTTGGTACCCATTGGATAGGAGGCTGGGTGGGCTCCAGAACCAGTCTGGGCAAAGAGGCTAGAGGAAAAAATCCTTTGCCCCAGTCGGGGATCACACCCCAGTCATCCAGTTCGTAGCCAGTCACTATACTGACTGAGCTATGCTGGATCACATTTTATACATACACACTATACATAATTTTGAAACTTATATTAGTGATTGATTGACCATTATTCTGTGTGCAGTAATACCAAAGTTTAGTCAGAATTTTAATGTGTACACTCATCAGTTCCAGGGACTTCCAGTTTTTTAATGTTGTGTTTATTTTATCTTCTGAACTATGTCTTTCACTGGTATAATCACAGTGCACATTTCATCAGAGGACTGCATGTCCAGGAGAGCAGCCATTTTAGCTAATGATTCACCATCATAAACAGTTACATGGTCATGTTACAGTACCATCAGAATTAAAGCACTCTCTGTGATACACCTCTAATTAATCTTGTAGATTTGCTTTTGAACAGCAGTCATAATTAGTAATCAGCATGATCCTGCATGTTAAAACCAAGCAACAATTGAACCTCCCTATCTTACCATCTGATTAATTCTGATAAAGAAATGTTAAATGTGAACATTGTGACAGCAGTGAAGAATAATGGCATTGATCTTAAAACAAATTCTCATGTCTTTTACTTGCTTTGACAGAACCGGTTTTTCAGAAGTGTGTTAAACTCCTGTTTCTTAAAGTCACTTCCATTCATGCATGAAGCAGTCCTTGAGAAGCTGATATTCACTCAGCTGACCAAGAAATTTCCTGTGTTTGAAGAAACCCTGAGGTCGATAACCATGTTTTTGGTCACTTACACAAAATTTTCTGACTAAATGTATGCATTTCTTATCTCCGTACAAGTAAATAATATTTAGTGTATTCTGCAGATTTTGGAAGCCCCCATTATGTAATTCTTACCTTTCTTCTCTGACAGTGTGTTGATTTGTTACTGTCATTTCCAGAAATTTTCAACGTGCCATATATTTAAAGGATTTTAGAGCACCTGATTGTGTCATTACAAATTAGGTGATGTGGAATAATGGTTATATAGCTTGACTGTTATTCACATATATCTGGTTTAAGTCGTAACCAGGGACATGTTATAAAATATTTTTGTTGTCTCCTTTCTCTCCTGGCAAACATATCATAATATTTTTAAATAGATCACAACTGTTTCCTCTTAAATTTCTTCTTATTCTTCTGGGATGTTGCATCATATAGTCTGGTAGAAACTGACTGACATTTCAGAAGTGCTTCTCACTGTGGAAACCCATGTTCATTTTAATGTATGTGGGTTTTTATGGTTAATGAAAGTGGCACTGGCTTTTCTTCAAGCACTTTTGCCATATTCTACCATGTTCCATATTTATTTATCACTGGCTGTGAGGTGTGTGATATGCCCAACCAGCCAGCATGTTATCACAGCCTCAGATCCCACTTGGCACTTTGCCATTGATCTGGCACTCAGCTGGAATCACCATAAATTATTAACTTCATTATATGTTTTTGCATAGACCAAGGCCGGTATGAAAGGAAGAACTAAAAGAGATAGAATAAGAAACAAAGAAATTAGAATCTAAAATTAAGAACTTTGGAAGACAAACAAATAACAGAATGATATGGTATGGATATATTATTGGACATTGGCATATATATATATTGCATTGCACTTGTACTGTTTATTTCCTTTATTCTTGAAATGTATGGTTCCATCTGAAACTACACTAACTGTTGTTCGCATTCAGAAAGGTATTTTTCATATATCGGTCTAGTCTATATATATATATATAAATAAAGTCTTTTGGAAAGTAGGATATGAGGTTTTCACGACAGTGAGTATGAAGATAGCTGTTTTCTGGGTTGTAGCGCTGTGTAGTCTGGTACAAGCTTACCAGTGTTTCAGAAGTCCTTGCTGCTTCCATCATCAGGGCAATGAGTCATTGCTGCAACCCAGAAAACAGCTGTCTTTGAAGTCTTTTGTAGTATGCCTCCTGACATCAAAGAATATAATTTCTCCACTTACCTTGATATTCCTTCATAACTGTCATTTTATTAATCTTCAAGGCAATTATTACACATTCAGTTCTTTCTCTGTACACATCCATAGAACAGGTTGAAAGCATTTAATATTGGCAATTATAATAGATGTAATGTGATAGAAGGAATTGAAGCCTGTCTAATGGGTCTGAAAGTAAAAGCCTTGCATAACTGTTACTGAGTGAATCCATAAACAAGACCTTCAATATGTATGAGGATGATGGTATCCCATACTAATGATGTGTACAGTCTGTGTCTAAAGTGAGTCACTGTATGCATCACAGTGTTCATGAATGACTTATTCTTGAAAAAACCTCAAGAGAAGAGGCCGCTTAGGAGAACTAGGCATAGGTTGGGGGATAATATTAATGTGGATCTTAAGTAAATAGGTTGAGAGGGTGTGGATTGGTGTACAGTAGTGGGTTTTTATGAATATGACAGTGAATTTTAAGGCCCTTTAAAAGCAGGGAATTTCTTGACCAACAAAGTGACTAACCTTTCTAGAAAAGACCCTGTACCATGTAAGTTAATAGACGCACAAAACATGTTAACCCTGAACATGACAGTAGATTCTACCTTCTTATTGCTTCATTGTATACTATTACTTTGAAAGTCTTAGTCAACACATTGACTTAAAGCATTACAGCATGAATTGTTATATTTTCTTTTGTTTCATTTTATTCTGTACCTTGTAGCATATGTATGGGAAATTTTGATTTTAACTGTCAAATTCATTGTACCACATAATAATAATAATTTATTTACATTCCATGGATCCATAAGACAGTCAGATGATGACAGGATGTGGAAAAAGTCATAATAAAAATAATAATAATAATAATACAATACATATTATAAAGTACAATTCGTACTATTATATAAATTTCACATAATACAAAACAAAGTATTCACCTAGAGAAATGATAAGCTACAAATAG